TCAAGATCTTATACTAAAAATGAATTTTAAAAAATAATACTCGTGTACCCAGAGGTTTCATTGAGATCAAATTCTTAGTAAGCACACACATGCTAAATACAGTATGGATTTTCTCTAAGAATGAAAAAAGTGGCCAACAGAGGAGTCAAATATTTCATGTGTTTTGTCCTAAATATCTGATGAATACAACTCCCTGATAATGAAGCAGCTGTGCTCAGTATTGGTGCTGAAGACCGACAATGGGAGGTGATGTGGACTGTGAAGTCTCCACCTCCTTTGCTGGCCTTGTATAAAGACAGGCAGCAGCAGGGCTGTCAGCAGACAAAACCCAGCACATGGCAAACATATTAGCAATAGGATCGAAAAATAAATACTGCAGCTCACTCGTTAGCCAAGTTAATAAAGAAAAGATCATAGACTCCAGTGATTATGTCCAGAAGAGAAGGATTAAATAACAGATGTTTTGGAATGATGGTAAATAAAAACTACATTAAACAATTAGACTTTGGGGCCTATTTAATTCAGCTAGGTGTTAGTTGTCAATATCATCAAAGAGACTAAAAATTAATGTTGTATCCTGCAACACGTAAATGTAAAGTCTATACTAAAAACAGAATATCAAGGAAGAAAGGGCAAAACCTTTGTAACGGCTGAATTTATTGCAGTATGCTATTTAAACGTATTTCACTATATAGGTCTGTGTAGATACAGTAATTCCCATATAGCTGTGGGTAAAACATCAACTTTTTCTGTGTGCGGTGCTGTCTGATTCTCTAAGAACTTGATGAGTTTCTTTGAGAGAAAAGTAGCAGCCCAATCTAGCTCAGCTGTACTCAATCTGAGTTGCTTTCCTACCTACAAACCCTCACTTCAAAGCAAGGAACATAATGTACAATTTTTTAATGGCTCTAGACCCAAGCACTCAGACTCTCTGCTCTGCGCCTTACCTCAGTGTAAACACCTAATCAAGATTGCCTGCGCTTCAACAATAGCAGCCAAATGCAATTCGAGAACCACAAGCCTTTGAAGTCCTCCCTGCAAAGGCCGGTTTTCTAGTCTGGCATAATGACATGCCATGATTGCTGTCTTTGTTGTATCTTTTCAGTAGAGAAGCAATTATAGGCCCCAATTTAACAGAATAGACATTACACAGCTTATGATGCTCAAAATGCAATTTCATTTGATCATTTTCTCAATTTGATTGGTATTAATAGAATGGTTCATACACACTCTCACACACACACGCAAATAGCTGGCAGAGGTTGTGTCCCATTCCACTTTCAAAGAGATAATGTAGAAGTATGCTTTACTTATTCCGAGACTCTCGCTGGGATGATTCAGCCACCGGTTCCACCAAAACAGCCTGTGGTGGAAATATTGTAGTGCCTGCTTACCTGGGCAAAGGCAACATTGTTGTTGTAGATAGCTGCTATCTAGTTGTCCCCCAACTCAGGGTGACCCCATGTGTTACAGAGTAGAACTATGCTTTCCATAGGGCTTTCTTGGCTATAATCCTTACAGAGGCAGATTGTCAGACCTTTCTGTGATGACACTGCTGGGCGGGTTCATCGTGTGCTTCGTCAAGTGCAAACCATTTTTACTGCTCAGTAACCTAAAGGAAAGGAGCTCTGGTAGCGTAGTGGTTACGAATTGGGCTGCGAGCCTCAAGGTCAGCAGTTTGAAACTACCAGCTGTTCTGTGGGAGAAAGATGAGGCTTTCTGTTCCCGTAAAGATTTACAGCCTCGGAAACCCTGTACAGGGTCAGTATGAGTTGGAGCCGACTCTACGGCACATAACCAACCAACAAAACCTAAAGGAAACACAGAACAGTGTATTTTTAGTTTATAAACATTTTAGCAGAGTTCATAAGAGATTCCAGAAATTAGTATCACCAGTGAAAAATTGAATGAACAAAATGAAGTCCCTTTTAGTTCACTCAGATTTTACAAAAGTCAGAGAATCAGACATCCGAGTGGCCTATGAAGGAGCTTCATTTCTCTTTTTCCCAGACTGCACGTCCTTCCATCACCACTTCCTCAGCTGCTTAGGCAACCCATTAGATATTTACTCTCTTGACCTTGCATCGCTTCGCTGTGAGTCGGAATCATCTCAGTGGCAGTGGGTTTGGTGTTTGGTTTGACCTTACCTGTCTCCTTCAGGACAGACAAATTACATTTGTTTTTAACTTCGCAGTAATGAGAGGCTGAAACCTTTGCAATAACTATGACAAATATTGTAAAACTTAATTACTTTTATAGTCATCTAGTGTTTCTTGAACCAGCACTGTGTCAGAGGCTGGGAGATGGAAACAGGAGCAATGGGCAAGGAGGCCCAGACCGCACCATTTATAGTTCAACCACAAGTTCAATGGTTTTATGGAGGTGTGAAGTTCTTCCATTTGCAGAATGCGTAGGTCATCATCCAAAGCCTGTTGATGTCCTTTGATTTGTCATCAGAAAGATGCTATGCTCAAATAGGGCATTTGCTTCCTTGTATCAACATTGAAAATTCAAGCACAAAAAAAATGTTTTCTTTTCATTCTTTCCCATTTTCAAATCAACCTTTAAGTGTTTAAACTTCCACACCATCTATTTACGTTAGCTGTGTACATGATGACAGCCATGATAGTGAAGAGACAGGAAAAGATAAGGTTACACACAAAAGAAAAGGTAGTAGAAATCTGTCTCTCTTACGCCATGGGAGGAGGCAAACTGAATTTTGTAAGAGATTAGGTCAAATCCTTGTCAAATATTTACTTATTACCTATTGTCTAGCATATATTTCGCCTCTTTCTGTATTGAATATTGTTGTTATTAAGTACAGTCAAGTCAATTCCGACCCATAGCAGCCTTATATAGGGTTTCCAAGGAGCAGCTGGTGAGTTTGAACTGCTGACCTTGTAGTTCACAGTCCAGTGCTGATCCTACAGTGTCACATCAGGAGTCTGTATTGACAATTAGTGTACATAAATACAAAATAATCGTAAATTACAGAAAGAACTTGAATACAAAATATGAGAGTCTAAATCCCACCTTCTCACCATTGTTACAAGTTGCTGCTTCTCATTCTACACAGCCCACCAAAGGATAGGTAGCAAAATACGTGTCAAGTCCTGGAAGTAATTTAACATAATTACATCCGTTTAGACAGCATTTACACGTGATGAACCAGAAAGAGTGGCCAGAGGAGCCAAACCTGAATAACATTTCTCTTTGACAGAGAACGTCTAAGCAACTGGATGTGGTTCCTCTAAATAAGATTTAGGAACGACATCTTAGTGAGCTGCTAGTAGTTTCCCACTGTTGTCTGGAAGAGGGTTTGGCTTACTCATGTTATTCCATGGGACAGAGGGCCAGAAGTTGCAGCAAATTATATTTCTGTTCATTTAAGGAAGAGCTTCTTAGCATTTACCTTGGTCAGTGATGGGATATGTTCAACCATGAAACTGATTAATTAAAGACTTAATATTTTACTTCATGGGATGGTTAAAAGACCCAGGTGTCCCTCAGAAAGGGAATATTCACAAATTTTATCCTTTTCTTCTTGTCAACCTAAAGAAGATCTTTAAACATACTCTAAAACTAACACCAGGAGAAGGAACATGTACAAGGGGGCTTCCAAAAGTTCATGGAAAAATTCCATTATCTTCTAATCCTATTTTTCCATGAATTTTTTGAAGCCCTCTCATATTTAAGCAGAGATGGTATAGAAGTGCTCACGGTTGTACTGGATGACATCCTGAATCTTTTCCAGGATCAAAGTTCTGTAACTTTTAAGTGTGCTTTCTGAAATGTTACCTGAAAGCTAGAATTCCACATATGTCAGAAATTATCTCATTTCTTGATTTAAATTGGGTAGCCAATTGAGAAATTGGAGGGCTCTTGAATAATTTAAGGCCAAACTACATGTGGTGCCACTGTAGGACAAGCACTGGACCTCAAGGTTGGTTTGAACCATAAGGTCGGTGGTTCAACCTCACCAGCTGATCCCTAGAAACCCTATATAGGGTTCTATGAGTCAGAACCAACTCATTGGCACTTAACAACAACAATCATATGTAGCTGCCTTCGTTGGCAGTTCTCAAACCTGGCTGCAGATTTTAGTCTAGAATTAACTTGACAACACTGGGGTTTGTTGGGGAGAGAGGGAAGATGGGGGACCTACAGTATACTAATATCTGGAGGCGGCAACAGGACATTAATATTTTTTAAATGCTTCCCATATTATTCCAATGTGTAATGAAAGTTGAGAAGTACTGATCCACATAGTTAAAAATAACTGAATACTAAAACTACAAATTTGGCAATTCAAGGATAAGAATATTTCTAACAAGTGAATTCATGATTCAGGCTCTGCAGTCAGACCGCAAGGCTGCTTTACTTACCAGCTGCTAATCCTGGGTAAGTGAAGTAACCTTTCTGCACTTCCGTTTTCTCGTTTGTAAAAAAAAAATATATATATATATATATATATATATATGTATATATATGTATATAGATGAAGGTATGATATATTGGTACCTACCACCTACCTCAAAGTTGTTGTGCAGACTAACTGGTATGTTGGTATGCTACTTGTTAAGCACTTACGACAGATACTGACCCACCATAAACATTCAGTGTATCTTAAATACTGTTGTCATCATCCTGGGGTATAGTGTCATTTCATCATGTTTCTATTGACACACGCAAACATGAGTTGCAGCAACCAATCAGATAACTGTTCTGAGATTGGATCCCCTGCATGTTTAAAGTAAGTAGTAGTTTAACCGTAAAGCTCCAATTCTCTCACATCATGTCTGCAAGAGAAAACAGTTTATTCCCATTTTCCTTGGTAACAATCCAGGTCCCTGGGAACCAAAGAGATGAATCCTTGAAATTAACTGAAAGTAAACCCTAGCCCTGCAGGACCTCTTTCTAGAGTAAACAGACTTTAGCCCCATGACTCTTAAGACTAAAGTGAATCCAGTTAACATGCTATATATGTTTTACCCTCGCAGATCTTCTACCCTGTCACAGTAACTGACAAGACACCTATTCAGAATGCCAAAGAGATTGAAAATGCTGCCATCGATCCTGAAGATAAATGGCATCAAAGAGCCCAACAGCTAAAGGTTACTGCTAGATTGAATTTTAAATGTGTTCCAGGGGATATTGCTGTATTTATATAGTGACTGACTTCTTACACTTAAGGGTTTACTCTTATGCCTGAGTTACCCATCTTCCTAATGGTAAGACCAGCTTCTGCCCAGATGGGTCATTGCTTACTCAGCCAGTTAACCACACCTACTGTCCCAAAGGCTCTATTTGCTAGAGGAAAAGCATCATATCACTCTTTAACCATACAAAGTGAAAAACCCCTCGTAGAAGGAAGCCATGGAGAAAACCCCTGAAAAAATCACCTTTCCAAAATAATGTCTAATTCTGCGCTGCTCCTAAGTCTGTTTCTTTTGGGAGTTGGCAGCTACACAGAATTCCTAGGTGATAGGGAACTTATCCCTAAAATAAGATAAGAAACCTTATAGCCTCACTTAGCCCTCATTTTCAGAATGTGGAATGTACTATGATGACATCCATCTAGCCCTGGGTTTACTCATTTGCAACCATAATGCAATTTCAGGGAGGATGAATGTGAACCATCCCCACTGGCTAGTCGTCTAAGAGAAACAAAGAGCTTCTGCAGCTGATGTCATCAGCTCCAAACCAGTGCTTGGAGTTATGTGCAGCAGTCACTCACTCTATGAGTAAGTTTTATAACTGATCTAGGAGGGGTGAGCTCTTTGACATCATCCAATCGGACCTGTTGGACCATCAGTTAAACTCAGCACAGTGATAAAAGGCACAATAAAAATGAAAACGTCAATTCCAGCCTCAGAGAAGTTAGAAAAGGAGAGTAGTCTAAACTGTCTTTTTGCCCTCCTTAGTGACCTTCAGGCACCATTTAGAATTTCAAATAAAAAAATAAAAACAATTGCTCATCAAGAGCTTCCCGAAAGCGGATGCCAGGGAAGATAGACCCAGAAGTTGCGCCGTTGAGAAGGAAATGTCTCATGGCAATGAACTGTAAAAGACAGGCTCTGCCACCAAATCTGAAGGAAGAGTTCAGGGAGCTTGGTCCAGGGGAGACAAGGACAATGGAAGTACCTTTGTTGTGTATTATGGATAATGGACTGGGTCAGGCTTCTGGGCCTCGAACCTGCCATTTACTTGATGCATGACTTTGAACTACTCTCAGTTTCTCCAGGCCTTAACTCTCTATCTTTATCAAATAAAGGATTGACCTACATGAACTTCCTTAAGTTCCATTCCAGCACCAAAATACTGTGATTCTATTATATTTCTAGTAATTTCAGTTACTACAGTAAACACATTTCAAGTATGTAAGATTATCACAACCTAGAGTTTATATTATTGTTACTTAGGAAAATCATGGACTCCCCAGTCTGTAAAATACTTAAGGTAAAATCATAGTGCTGACTCATGGCGTAGCCCTGAGCGGAGGCAGTGGAGGCAGTCAAACAGATGGTTGAAAGAAAATCAGAAGGAGGCCAAGAGAATGTTTTTACTTCTCTATGCATACTGGAATTCATTGTTTAGAGCCCATTCCTGAATAAATGCAAAGAGGAACAAAATATCTAATGATTATTAGACCTAAAAGGACAGCAACCTAAAAGGTCTAAAGGATGTTTCCCTTTCTTGATTTAGAACCAATTTGTTAACTGCTCACTGCATTCTTGACACTGTCTGGACACTCACACATAAACACTTCAGACTGCTCTTCAATACATTCTTTATGGTTGCGCTTCAAACCCTACCTCCTCTGTAAAAATTTCCCCTCCCATTCCTCTAGTCTGCCTCATTGATAGCTGTTTGGACCACTTGTGCGGGGCATCATGGTCGCCATGTCACATTAGCTGCTGCCTGCATTTCTTTTACACCAGTTACCCTGTAGGACTCCTGGTGTGGTGCTGTGGGTTAATGCACTGGACTGCAAAGTTGATTTGAACCTCAGGGTGGGTGGACCTCAAGGTTAGCAGTTCAAGCTCAGCAGCTGCTCCTTGGAAACCCTACACAAGGTCGCTATGGGTCAGAACTGACTCAACGACACTTAACAACAACAACCCTTTAAGTTCTTAACATTTAGAATTTTTTTTCTCCCTATCTCATAGCACGTGCTTTGCACCAAGGTAATGCTCATCGAGTATTTTACTGACTGATTATGATACATTGTTGTTGTTGTTGTTAGGTGCCATCGAGTCAGTACCGACTCATAGTGATCTTATGCATAGCAGAACAAAACACTGCCCAATCCTGGGCCAACCTCACTATTGTTGCCACACTTGAGCCCATTGATGCTGCCACTTGGCCAATCCATCTCGCTGGGATCTTCCTCTTTTAAGATAATTTAGTACATCTCCAAGTGAAAGTGGGACTCATTTAAAAAAATGTTGTCTTGAAAGATAACTATTTGAGCCTCAGTAAACCTAGTCAGTGATTAACGCTCATTAATAAGAAATATCTTCATGTAACACCAAAATAATTCACACAATAAATATTTATAGAGTGGGAGAAAGATGAGGCTTTCTACTCCCGTAAAGATTTACACCCTCGGAAACCTTGTACAGGGTCGCTATGGGTCAGAACCGACTTGACGGCACTTAACAACAACAACAACTATTCTATGAGCCCTGGTGGTATAGTGGGTTACGTATTGGACTGCTAACCCACAAGCTTGAATCCAGCAGCTGCTTCGAGGGAGAAAAATGAGGCTTTCTGCTCCCATAAAGATTTACAACCTTGGAAACCCTACACAGGGTCGCAATGAGTCAGAACCAATGAGTTGGCACACAGCAGCAGCAGCAACACTGAGGATTAGGTGGCTGGTTTGAAAAAACATGATCAAGATAATTAGGAAAGGTAAACAAACAAGCATGGTCCCTACCCTCCAAACTCAAAACTTTAGTGGGAATACAGTTATATAACCATGGATGCAGTTATATAACCATTTGGGAGTAGGTTAAAAAAAAATGCAGTGGAACTAAAAAAACCCACCTAGTTCTGCCCTAAAAAACCTCTCCAGAAGAGACAGCACTTAAACTGTCCCTAGAAGAATAAAACAAAATATGCAAAGTGGACAAATGAGGACAAAAAGACAAAGTGAGGGAAGACATGTGTCCACATTCCATGGAGCTTAGTGACTGCAGAAAGTATGAGGAACGGTGTAGGGGAGGATGGGGCTACACAGGCTAGGTGTGGACCAATCATGAAAAGCTTTATACAAAGGCGCTTCAAAAAGTAATGGAACTGTTCCTTTTTCTGACAAGCAGTAACTAGGCATATAGGGGGAACAGCAATACCAGTAAAATATGCTCACGATGACTGATGGAACAGTCAATCCTTCAACATGGAAGGGGCAGCATGTACCTAAGGACAATGGTGAGAAGGGATGGGAAAGTGGGTGGGAGGGAAATGGCAGCCACAGGGAGGAAGCGGATAACTGCTATTCCACAGAGGGGATTGCAATCATTGGGATCAAACAAAGTGAATTATTTGTTGAAGGTAAAACTGATGAGCATGTCTATAAACCTTCACTCAATTCACAATAAAAAGTGAAACAGAAAAGAAATATACCCGCAAAATAGATGATACCACATGGAAGAGTTTAAAAAAAGTATGAGTGGAAAAATGGAATGAAAAGATAATGGAATTTTTTAAGCCCCCTTGTATGTCAATCAACAGAATTTGGTTTTAGACTTTATAAAATAGGAAGCCATTAGCCGATTTTGAGCAGGTTACAAATAACTGGTCAGAATCTGAAGAAGAGATTGGGAAAGATTAAGACTAGTATAATGAATAAGGACACATGTCAAAAATTGATGGATCTGGGTAAGGATGTTTGGAAGGTCTCTGTATTATTCTTATAATCTTTCTGTAAATTAGAAATTATTTCAAAATAAAAAAGTAAAGAAAAAAAAAAAATCCTCAGGATTTGGCATCTAAAAGGTCATTAGTGGCCTACGTGGAGCAAGTTTCCATGGGAGGTGAGAACAAAGGAGAACTGCCGGGTGTGGAGGTCAAAGTGAAGTGGGGAGAGATGAAGACCAGGCTCTGAGTTGAGATGTGTTATGGTGTCACCAAAGAATAAGAACAAGTGTTACCTTTTTACTTAATATGGCACTGAGGGGTTAATGCACTGGACTGCACGATTGGTTTGAACCACAAGGCAGTGGTTCAAGCTCACCAGCCATTCTTCAGAAACTCTATAGAGGGTCGCTATGGAACAGAACCGACTCGGCGGCACTTAACAACAATGAGAGAGTCAAACACATTTGCTTGCTGGAGAAAATGAGAAAATGGAGATCGAAAAATGGAATCACTCTAAAACTATTGAGAGTTACTGGGCATCACCCTCACACTCTATGGAAGAGTCCTTTATACACTCCTGAAATCTTTACTGCAAAGCAAGTAATCCCTGTCACTTAACCTTGCCACCTAGGTCTTACTGTCCTGAATCATTCTGTGCTCTTATGAGTCATCTTAGGTTTTCTACATCTAGAAACTAGATCCATGCTAGGCAGTGCTCCTAGCAGAAGGAAGACTTCCCAGGCAAGGAACATGTTGTCAATGAACGAAAAGGAACTTCTCCCATTAAGTGAGTTTTCTTTTGACACTAAAATAATTCTTGATTTTTGAGGCAAGATAAAGGTATTATAGGTCTTTCTGTAATTAATGGCTATCTTAGGTATCGAGTGCTTTTTTAAAAGAAATACAAGTGAATTCCTATAACAAACAGAAATTTATATTCTCACAGTTTTTCTTGTTGTGTGCCATCAAGTCATTTCCCACTCATTTTGTTGTTAGGTGCCTGAGAGTCAGTTCTGACTCAGTGACTCTATGCAAAACGGAACGTAATACGACCTGGCGCTGCACAATCCTCACAAATGGTATTATGCTTGAGCCCGTTGCTACTGCTGTTGTGCCAATCCATCTCATTGGGGGAGGTCTTCCTTCTCTGATCCTCCAGTTTACCAAGTATGATGACCTTCTCCAGACACTGGTCCCTCCTGATGATAACATGTCCGAATTATGAGATAAAAGAGTCTCACCACCCTGG